CAAACCACATACATTCTGTAATTATATCTACTAAATTGTCAAATTTTTTTACCCCTCCGTTCTTCATAAAACTGATATGAGGACAAGCGTCTTCCCCTTTTGAGCTGTTTGTTTTCAGGTTGACAACATATATTTCGCCACAACTGTGATTGTTTGTACAGAACAGAAAGTAATGGGCGTGTTTATTTTTGTTGGGTTTCTCTAAATTCCAACTTCAGCTTGTGTCGGGCTTGAATCCTTGATTGACTTCACCTCTCATCACTTCCTCGTAAGATGGCGGTGGGTCAAAGGTGGTGTCCAGCTCTTCGTTGTTTCCGCTCCCAGCTGAAATGATGGGGAAAAAACAAGGTCAAGGGTCGTGTCTCGTCTATTATCTTAACTATTAGTATACGGAAGCCTATTTCTCATCTGTACGCAACCAGTTTCGTCATCTCAGTTTCTACCGTGACAGACTTCTCAAAAACCTCATGCCTATTTTCAAAGGGCCTAATGATATTAACAAATAATCAAGTAATTCTGGAATAACGAAATCGTAATTGGTTGAACCGAGGAATGTGTGGACGAATGGAAGGATTTATAGACAAATGAATAAGGGATGGATAGTGTGGGTGGATGGATGGATGGATGGAATGACGGATGGATAGATGGACGGATGGATGGAAGCACGGATAGGCGAATTTAAGGGCAACTGGGTTGTTAAAGATTGCAGGGAGAGTAGACTGAGACAAATAGAGAGAGAGAGAGAGAGAGAGAGAGAGAGAGAGAGAGAGAGAGAGAGAGAGAGAGAGAGAGCATGCCATGTTTGAAGATAAATTAACTTTTTCTTTTAGTAACGCCAAGTGCGTGTATTTTTTTACCCGGCATTCTGTTAGTAATCCTTTGGAATGTAGAGTAAATTATTTACAATCAATTAAGCCCGGCATCTTTTCACAAGTCCACATTATTTATAATTGTAAGTCAGCAGTAATGAATGAAATAAATAAATAAACAAACAAACAAACAAATAAATAAATAAATAAATAAATAAATAAATAAATACTCACCGGAATGAAATACAACACTTGTCTGCTGTGTGATGGCTGTCCCCCTCCTTCTCTCTTCCTGTCTAGTCTGCTTCCGGCAAAAGCAGCAACAGCAGACGATAATCAGAAGCACCGCTAAAAGCAGCGCCCCACCCAGGGCACTGCCTACGATCAGACTTAGACTGGGGAAGCAAACACACAAAGTATGGGAAAAGAGGGAAAAGAAAACAATACATGTACATGGAATGTGGTTATATCATTTTACTGTAATAGAGATAAGAGAGAGAAAAAAATCGCACGGATGAAACTATTTTATTACGGAATTCTAGAAATCCAATACCTAATCAATAATGATATTATTATCATAAAAAGCCAACTTGGGAACTAGTGAAGTGTGTGATGAGAATGCTAGCAGATAATGTTACTATACGTTCCTTGTCTCTTTCCATCTGTCTCTTTTCTTTCTCACAACACACATAAATGGGACTGGGGTGATGTGATTCAGGTCAACGTAAAAACAGGGAATTAAAAAGAAAGAAAACAGAAAACGTATGAGGAATCCACGAGGAAAACGGGCAAAATGGAAGTTGTGAGGAAATACATTTTTAAAGCATGCAGACTCATAACTATATATCGATAGATTTATTACTGCTGTTAAAATACTTTTTTAAAATGCTGGTGGTGTTTTTACATCTCCATCCACACTAGTTAGATCTTTTTAAGAGGCAGGATTCTACACTGCCTGCCACGGCCATCCTGGGTTGAGAAAGATAGAACATCCCAGCTGAAAGACCAAGACACTCAATATAAATTCTCCCCTCGCGAAAATCGAATTTAGGATCACAGCGTACAGCGACCAGGCACCTAAAATTAAATAAGCGAATAACTTTAGCTGTGCATTTCACTATAGGGGTAAAAAAAATTGCAGCAAAGATGATTTTGGTATCACTAGAACAAGAAAACTTTTCTCGGAAAGGAGGACCAGTGTTTAAAATGCGGTTGAATAATAAAATACAGTTAATGCTATAGTATTAAAATAGCCATATATCAATACCAAATTATTTCAGAATCGCACAAAAACCATTACATCACAAGAGCTGGTATTATTGTTGGTAGATGGAGGGAGAGGGGGGTTTGAACAAACAAAAAAGATAAGCAACTACTCCAACCAAACAATTTCTTGTTTATGACCACGCCCACTCTTGCCCGTGGACGTGACATGCCTCTACCCCTGAATTACAACGTTCTATCAGCTCAATACTTAGTTTTGAGAAATCTGATGTTTTAAATTTTGCGTTTCAAGACATGTCAAGCCTTTTCGAATGCCATTCCTTTAATATCTTGATAACGACTCCGAACAACTTCACGACTTTGATAGAGTAGACAAAACAGAATTTAGCTTCTGACCTCATGGTCTTAGTAACTCAAAACGGCCCAAAATGATGGATAGAACTTTGTATTTCTAAGGTAGAGATGTGTATTCCAAGGAGGTTATAAACCGTCACAGTCACAAAATAATTGCTTAAGTCATTTTTGGCCGGTTTGGAGTGTTTTGTTTTGAAATGAAGAGCAGAACCAGCTTGGTAATATAAAAATGGAGATAGAGTATGGGTTTAACGCCCTTATCGAACCGTGACCTTCGAGTTTAACGTCCGTCTCCGAAAGGACTGATTACGAATCCGGTAGCCTAACCACTAGGCTACCTTGGTAATATAGTTTACTTAGACAAAAGAATAATTTAAATATAATGAAATTGAGTGTACCAAAGTTCAAGCGTTTCACAAAATCAATTGTTCGAAAGAAACAGATTTCTTTTCTTCTCGTTTTCCCCAAAGGGCAAAAAAAATGGGGTTGGCATTTCGCTACGTCAGAATTACAAAGTTAAATCTTACATTTGGACCATTTTGGGTTATTAAGAACATGGGATCAAAAACCAAGTTCTATCGGCTCTGTTGAAATCGTAAGATTACTCGGAGTCGCTATCAAGATATTCAAAGCATTGCATTCGAAAAAACGTTACATGATGTTTAACTCAAAATCTTCGACGTCAATTTTCTCAAAACTGAGTACTTAGCAGACGGAAATTTGTAATTGTGAGGTAACGAATGATCTTGTGAGCATAACAAAATAGAATGTCCTTAGGCCTTAGGTGTGTTCCCAACTCACGGTGCGGAGCAGCACGGTGTGTTTCTGTGATTGCAGCATCCCCACTGACACTCCTCACTGGTGGGCACCTTGTCGTACACACTCTGGAACGGGTTGTACACGCTCTTCTGGTACCAGCACAGCTTGCCGGTCACACCTGGAGGAGAATCAGGGCCAGTTCGTTAGAACATAATAATTATTAACTCTACATCAGGGTGAGAAAAATTGGTGTCAGTTAAGGCGGAACACATTATGTGAGGCATCGTGGTGAAATCATGCACTAGCCGAAATAATGAAATCGCAGAAACCTACATTTTTTTCGGCCGTGTGGCAATTTTCTTATAATTTTGTTAAATTATTCTTATCATTAGTATTATTATTAAACAGGCGTCGGCAATCATGATTTGCCAATCGTTTCGTAAATACCCTATACATATTTTACAATGGGATTTTCCCCGTCAACTATCTGTTAAGGTTCTCTAAGCAGGTTGTTCATATGTCTACCTCGGCCTCTTTTCCCATCTATTTTACCTGCGAGCACCATATAAAAGTGAGCGTTGGAATGTTGGATTGATAGCAGAATGCACTCTTAACCAATCACATTGCAAAAGGTTCATCTTCCTTCTTAGAAAATGTCGCATTCCAAAAGAAAAATTAAGCGTTTTCCTCAAGTATTATCACCCTTCTCCCTCAAGCTCTTCCTTTCACTCGCATTCCCCCACTCTGTCACTCACAACTATCAAACTGCCCATCTATCTATCTATAACTTTCTCTTTTTCTCTCTCTCTCTCTCTCTCTCTCTCTCTCTCTCTCTCTCTCTCTCTCTTTCTCTCTTTCTCTTTCTCTCTCTAACTCTCTCTTTCTCTCTCTCTCCCTCTCTCTCCCTCTCTATCTCTCTCCCTCCCTCCCTCTCTCTCT